GGGGGTTTGGGGGGGGAGGCCGGGGGGGGGGGGGGTGTTTTTCTTTTTTTTTTGGGGCCCTTTGTTTTTAGGACGGCCCGTGGCCCTTTCCCCAGCCCATATGAAAAGGGCCTTTAGTGTTCTTTGGTTGGGGTTTTTTTTTATTTTTTTTTTTCCCCCCGGAAAAGGGGAGTTTTTTTTTCGGGCCGGCCCATTTTTCTTTATTGTTTCTTAGGAAAACCCCCCCTTTTGGGGTCCCCTCCAGGAACGTGGGTGGAACCCGGCAGGGCCCGGGGGGGCCGCCCCCCCTTTTTTAACCCCTTGGGGGGGGGGGGGGATGGGCTCCAGGCCCCCCCCCCCCCGTCCCCCGGGGGGCCGGTGGCCCAAGGGAACCCCCAACCCCCACCCCTAAAAAGGTAAAAAGGAATCCCGGCAGTTTTTTCCCTTCTAAAATTACAGCCCGGGGTGATAATTCGGGGGATTGGTTCAAGGGGGGGGGGGGGGGGGGGGGGGCACTAGGCGTCATGGACGGTTGTACGAGTGTACCCTCTACTCATGCGTATTGCACCATCCGCAATGCTAATAGCGCTGCTGTGGGGGGATAGCTTACCGCACACTCCCGTCGGATGCCACCAGAATGTTTCCGGCTTTGACGTCGCGGTGAATTTTCCGTTCCAAGTGCAGGTAGACCAACGCCTGAACATTGGAAAAAAAAAGCCAAGAAAACAAGGTATCAAACAATATCCGCCAGCGCATTCACCGGGGACACTCAGCAAGAATCGACCCCTCCCCTCGTCCCGGTAGTCATACACTGGGGTAGGAAGTGGGTTTCGAGGGCGGGAAGTGGTATCGATACGATAGATAGGTTAGGGAAACATTTTTGGGTCACCCTTTTGGGCAACGCACGAAGGAACGATTGGTCATCGGTGATCGGTCCTGTGGAAACGATGCTTGGTCCTCTCGGGGGCAAGCAGTCAACGATCCAAGTATGGCATGCAAAACATAGGAATACGCTCCTCCGCTAGTCCAACCTCCTTCCGCCCTGACACCATCGAGTACACGTGCTACCGATGAATATCCATCCCCCCCCCCCCCCCGGTGTTTGCCATCGGGGTTGGGTTTTCGTCGCTTGGCAACGACGTTGTAAAACAAGCCGCCCCCCCCGGTGTTTGCCATCGGGGTTTGGGTTTTCGTCGCTTGGCAACGACGTTGTAAAACAAGCCAATTCACTTCGTGAACTCGGCAACCAGGTTACCGTTTTTTTTTTTTTACCTCGGTTTTTTTTTTGGCGGTAACCATAATGGTGGTCGAGTAGATCATGTTGTGCGGGGTCGAGAAACCTCACTCCGCGCAACGGGGGATGATCGCACCTCGTTGTGTTAAAATGGTCAAGCTTCCTCGAGGCAGTTACACAGCGCTTACAACTGTCTCTGGAAGTGAAAGCACCAGAAAATAAATTAAGTCATAAGTAGCTGTCATCCGTACGCAAGGAAGTAAGCACAAGATGCCGAACACCCTTAGCAGGATGCAGCTCACCCTTCATGCGACTCGCCAAATACCTCACGGCGCTTCGCGCTTGGTGATGTGAGAGCCTGGTCCGGTGAGAACCCGGCGTGCTCCGTCCCGGCTTTGTAGGGATGCGAGGTCAATGGTCAAACGACTACGGCATGCACGACTATGAGTACACCCCCCCCCCCCCCCCCCCCCCC